GATTTTCTTTTTTCTTTTTTTTTTTTTCTTTCTTTTTTTTCTTTTTTTTAATATTTTTTTCTTCTTTTTTTCGCGTGCTTTTGTACAATTTTCCCTGAATATACAATTCGTGTGTCTCGTTTTCCTCTTCCTTTTTTCTAAAACTTTAAATCTAAAAAAAAAAAGAAAAGAAAAGAAAAAAAAAAGGAAAAAAAAAAGTAGGCACACTGGTTCATCATTATGGAGAGAGAATGAAACTTGCAAAAGCGACTCGCTACGCCCGATTCTGGATTTAGATTCGAACGTGATGTTGAGTCAAATGAACGGAACTTAGGTTTGTTTGCATCGATCACTGCTAACTTTCCGGATAAATATTTGTAACCGAATGGAAACGCGATTTAAACTTTAACGCGCAAACTTTGTTCCCATTTTCCATTGTATCTATATAGCACGGCTGATTCTATTGTACGCAATTGTTGCACTGTGAATGTAGATAACGGAAGTAAAATATAATTTCCATTGTCATTCCGATATTTATAATATTTTTCTCGTTGGAATTTCGAAACTTGAGAGGATATCTAGTTGAATTGAAAATATATAGACACGAAATGTGTATATATATATATATATGAAAATTAAATATTTATCGATGAATATTTTCAGAATATTAAAACGTAAAAATAACGAAATTCCAATTCATTGTTCAATAAGAATATTCAACAATCACGAGATATTAATCCTTTCATTTGACTGAACATTTTTATCGAGCCAACCGTTCGCAACAATCAGAATCTGTAACCATATGCTGCGCGCATATCTGAAACTCGTGACTCGATTAATAGTACACACTATTCAAAGTAAGGAACAATGCTGTTATTACACAATAAAATCAAGTATGCGTGCAAGAATGAACCAACGTATAAAATTATAGAAAATCATAAAAGGCCGTTCGATTATACGATTCTCTGATAAAATTTCAATATTATCGAACGATACGATGACGTGGTGAAATATTTCGTAAATTAGAACGAACGAACGAGCGAGCAAAAGATCAAAAGTGTCGAGACCAAAAAAAGAAAAAAAAAAAAAAAAAAAAAAAAAAAAAAAAAAAAAAAGAAAGAAAGAAAAGAAAAAAAAGAGGGAACAAAAAGAAGCGTATCGTATAGAATAAAAATTGAGAATTTCCAATTGATCCGCCGCGATGATCGTAACAAAGAATTTTTTTTTTTTTTTTTTTCTTTTTTTTCTTTTTTTCGAAAAAGCTACTACTACTAAGCCACCGCGTCGAAAGAAATCCATTGGTTATCCGTGGCTTTATTGCTCGTTCAAGCTGCGTTTTCCGATTGCACGGCTAAACGTGTGTAACGTGTTCTGTTAAACGAGACGAATCTCGCACGATTCGCACTTTCTCTGCTTCACGCTACCCTACCTATGTAAATTAACGTTTATAAAAGGTCGCATAATACCAACCCGGGTGAATCGCATTGCGTTTTCATAGAATCGTTATCGCGTAATAATACTCACATTCATCTTGTACAAGTACATATACATATATATGTGTCTATAAATATATGCACGGACACTTCCGGTTGCCTTCTTGCTAAACGCAGATGTCGTAGAATTAATATCGTTAGATTTATTATACTTTTAATCAAAATTTCGATTAATTTTTTAATATCTGTATAATTAAAAAAATATAATAATAATAATAACGATAAATAGTATTAATTTATTATCACGTTTTTTATAGATGAAGGAAAATTAAATTTCACTTCTTTAAAGTAACATTTGTGTTATTCGTTCGAAATTAAAACTTGAAATCTCTTTCTTATTTCTTCTTCTTCTTTTTAATTTATTTGTTTCGCATCCACGTCTCGTGAGAACGCAAACGGTCATAACCGTGCGCATATATAATAATACTAAGTCTTAAGAAGCATTCCATTTACGTATCCCTATTTTATCAACGTTATTATTCTTCTCGTTATCGTTAATCATCTCCTATATCATATATAAGATAATGCACTCGAACGATAAATTATCATATTACTTACAATAAGTCAACAGAGAAGAGGAGGAAAAAAAAAAGAAAAAAAATAATAATAATAAAACGATTGCGTAATCACACCGCGTTTAAGTCTCATTTGGCCAACGAATTGCACGCTTTCAAAGAAAACTGTTATGCATATCACGATCTACGTGTCGATCTTTCAAAAAGTACTGTCATTTCGATTTATATATACGTGTTACACGCTATTGTTCATCAATTATGTCACATGATTTATATATAATTTCCATTTTAGTATGTGTAAATATTAAAAATATATATTCTCAATAATCTCACGATTTAAAGCGAGATTTAAGCGAGTAAAATCATCATTGCTCGTGTATTCAATTGACGAGAAAATTAATATTCGCTTAAGAAAGAAAGACGAATGAATCTACTTCGACGATATATCGGTATACGATTAAAACTATTATTAAGAAGCTCGAGTGCAAATAAATCAAATTCAAATGATCCGAGGCGACACGCACGATCGAAGTGATAATTAAATAAAATTAATATCCGTTTATTCCCGCGCTATTTTCAACCGGTTCAAATTTCAAACCATTTCGACTATTTCCATTTCATTCGCACAACTCGTCTCGGTTATCTCTCGGTGGATATTAATCGCGGGAGATGTTAATCGCGCAACGATGATTTCATTTACGAGGTTTTGGTGTGTGGAAAGTATTTCTGGATCGAATCCACGTGATTCAATCCTGTGTAGATCTCGGCTCGATTCTTCTTTGGCAAACGTGCCAAAAAAAGAGTTCGACGACGAAACTCGACGAATTCCCCCCCTCCCTACTTTAACTCGATCTGCCAACGCGTGTCAAAAACTTTCTGCCGCTTCTCGACACGTTTCGAACTTTACAGAAACCCGGCCATCCACGATACGACCAACCTCGTGAAATTCTGACACGATCGAAAGGTGAATCGATCGTTTAACCCTATTTCCATTGTACGCGTTGTTTGGAGAAAAAAAAAAAAAATAATAATAATAATAATAATTTTCACGCGAACGTGAGAATACAAGAGACTATGAACGCTACATCACAATACAATTGAATCTTTCTGTTTCGATAAATCGATATTTGAAACAATTTGTCGCACAAGTCTCTGCAAAGCGTATAGAACTCTCTTAACTTACTTAAAAGTAGAATAAATATATTATTACGATTATTCCCTTTAAGAAACAGTATATTTACGTGCAAATAGGATTAACGAGTGAGTTTATTTTCAAGGAACAGATAAATCAATAACTTGTTGTTTACTCGGAGATTGTGACAGATCCACATAGACTGTAAACACGTTTTTTTGAAGATGAATACAGTACCCTCTCTCTCTTTCTATATATATATATATATCTTATTTAATCAAAAATATCTTGAAAAATAAACGTAGGGGATTATATTCTGTCTAACGTTAATTGGTCGATGGAGAAACGAGGTCGCGGCCACCGAAATGAGAGTACTTTTCCCGACACCGCGTATCACTGCAAAGATCTGCGTGTTAAAATTGATCAGCTTTTTGAACACGTAGAATAATGTATACGTAACACAAACAGCGCAACAAGTTATATTATTATCGCCACTACACTACCACGTAAATTACTTCCACCTTTACGTTATAATTACACAATATTTACGCAGGATAATGGGGTTATATACGCGCGGCTCCTGCGATACGCTAATGTCGCCAAAAAACAACGCATTTCTCCTAAATGCAAGGAAGGTTTGCGACAATAACAGAGCTAAGAGCTGTCTGCTGTTTCGTTCGTTTTTTTAACACTAATTAAAATTGTAAACTCGATTCGAGAACCGGAAACTAATCGTGCTAATAAAGGGTGGCTGCGTGACGAAAGAACAGATTTTTCTTTCTTGGCGAGAATTTTGTTTCGTATCTTTGTATTTTCGTAATTTTGTTCGCGATTCTTTTTTGGGGGGGGGAGAAAGGGGAATTAATAATGGTGGAACTCCCTTTAAGTGAAATTTGATTTTTGATTAGTACGAAATCTAAAATTGCATGAGAATATTTATATTGAATGCGAAAGGAAATGCGAGAAACTTTTTTCACTTTTCTTGGAAAAATAGGAAATCTCTATAACGTCTTCTATTTTTTGATAATTAAATTTTATTTACGTTCTCTAACAATTTTCCAAGATCAATTAATATTTTCGCCATGAGAAAAATGATTGGCTGTCAAAAATCGATTTTATCTTTCTTTTTTTCTTTCTCTGGAAAAACTTTCCATCGAATTCCGTGGAAAAAAAAAGTTTCAGGAAGAAGAATTTCCGCCACGGAATCGCTACGTTGCGCAAGAAATAGGAAATCGCAGAAGGCGGAGCCACAAATCGTTTCGTTGCTTTTTGTTTCCACGGCCTCTCGTCGAGGGTGTCGTAAATCTAGCGAAGCCCCCCATTATCCGAAAACATAGTAAAATAAGTTGGACAAAATGATGCAAGAAAATTACGAGGAAGGAACGTCGCGGGAGCTTATACGCGGGAGCTCGACCGAATAAATCCGGGGGGAAACACGTTTCTGTCCACGGGTTAATCCTCTTCACCGAAAGAATCTGTCCAACTGATAAACCCCGATTCCTTCCAGGATCAACGAGACGTCTGCCATCTACAGATCTTTTCGTCCAAATTCTTATTAAATTGACGATGAACGATTCATACACGAATCTGCTTTCGTGTTTCGACTTCTATTATGATTATTTTTCTTAAAAATTTACAGTGTAATAATATGCAATGATTGTCAAGTCGTGAACGTATAATCGATATTCTGATTCGATAATCCGATTTTATTTTATTATGATTTGTTTTCTTTTTTTTTAGTTTCTGTAAACGTAATATTATACGTGAAAAAATTATTGTAATTCATTCGTGTAACGTTCACTTCACGAAATTTCAAAGAAATACGTAATACGAAGCAAAATCGTTCCTTCCAAAGCGCGTGTAAAAAGAACATTTCCGCGCGAAAATGAAATTCTGCGCGATTCTATTTTTCACGGGGCGGTGAAAAATCTGTTCTTCGGTCAAGGCTCGGAAAATTAACGTATGGAAAAGACTTAATTTAGCTATGACGCTACAAAAAAACGTCGTGGTTAAATCTCGAGTCCGAGATTCGAAGGAACGGCGGCGACGACGACGACTTTTAGAAACTACGATTTATAACTATACAGTACAGTAAAATACGAGGCGTGGGGTTTCTGGTTTTGAAACGAAGCGATTAATACCTGAACATTCCTCACATTTCGCTGCGGCTTGTATCTGCGGGGAAAAAAATTAAGCAAATCGTTATTTCATAATATCTCGTCGAAAAGAGACGTAATATTTTGCGACGAATTTAACCCGAGTACTCGAAGTAATCAACAACAACTACGATTCAAAAAATATATAAAATTACTTTTTGCTTTCTTATTCGTTAAACCATTCATAGATATAAATATTTTCAAAGTTGAAACGTTATTCAAAGTCATTAAAAAAAAAAAAGAAAAGAATCCAAAGTACCTTCTACTCAAAAGTTAAGATCGAGTTAAATTTAAAAAAGCGAAGAAAAAAAAATCCACCGTTACGAGAATATATAAAGCAAGGTGAAAGAACCTTTCTACATCCCTTTAACGAATCTTTTGAATTTCCAATTCAATTGTTCACTAACCTGAGCAGCGGCAATATCTCTGTCCTCGAAAGAGCGCGAGTCAGCGTCGGCCAATTCCTCGGACTGTCCATCTTGGAAATCCACTTTGTCGACGAGAGCAGCTCCTCTCTGCCTCGGTCTGTCGGGAATCTTCCTCCTTTCCACCGGCTTCTGGCCATCGGGGCTCCCCCCGGGGCCATTATCTTCCAGACTCTTGGCACCGATCACAGTGAAACCACCTTGAAATTTCACCGATTTCTTCCGTTTCGTTTTACCGGCACGCGTACACGACGACACGCGTACCATCTCTTCCCTCTTCGCCTCCGCTTGATCATCCTCGATGAGGAGGTCATCCCCGACAACACGGTCTTCGCCCGTCGCCAGACTCGAGTCCCCGCGCTTTCCGACCTTCTCAATTATCCCCGTATTTTCGTCCATCCCGCTTTCCTTCCTCGTCGAATTGGCCGACGACGATCTCTCGCGCCTCTGGTTGCCCGTCGGCGAATCGTTCCTCCTCTTCTTCTTCTTGTTCAACGTGTCCGCCCTCGCCTCCAAACCCCTACGGATGCTGTATACGGACCGATGGCCCAACATCACCTCCCCGTCTAATCTATCGTTAGCTTTAGAATCTTTGTCGGTCGTGGTCACCTCGTGTCGAATCTCGTAGTACTTGACGAATTTCCTAACTCTACCCGGGGTTATCGTTACAACGTCACGGGATTGGTCGTCGCTTAGAACTACGGGTGTCGTTACGGCCCTGTTATTGTCATTATTATTACAATGGGGTCGAGAATTCCTTCTAGCTATGGCACTCTTCTTCTCGCCGCTGATCGCGTTTAACTGTCGCGCGATCGCGCCACGATTATAATAAGACTCGTCCCTCGCGTCAGTCTTTTCACTGCAGCCACCCGTCTGCGCTTCCTCCTCCAACCTTCCTCCTCCGTTTTCCTTTCCGTCGCGCGTTCTCCCTTCAACATCGCCGTCGCTTTTCCTTCCCGTCCATTCTTCTTCCCTCGTCCTCCTATCCAATTCCGACTTGTATTGACTCTTGATCCTTTCTTCGTCGCCAAGATCTTTGCTAATTTCTCCAGCTTCGATCGGTTCCACGCCAGTTTCTACGGACGAGCTCTTTGGAATCGTTCCTCTGGCAGGGCAGGCTTGATATCGTTCCTGCTCCGTCGAGAGACAACGAGAATCCATCCTATCCGGTTCAACGGATGATTCGGTTGGAACGGGGAAGTTGACATCATCTTGAGATTGTTTCTTCTCTAGTTCGTCGTCGCGCTTCCAGTTGTTCGGAATTTTCCTCGTCGATTCCGAATCTATATCCTCGTCGCTCGTTCTCCGAACTACGGGCGAATTACAATCGTTCCTAGATTCTCTCTCCTCGCCCTCCTCGTTCGTTCGTCGACGTTCCACCCGCGATCCACTTTCATCCGCGCTTCTCTTCTTCTCGACGCGACTCACCGGTTTCAATTTTATGCTGTTAAAATTGGAGAGCAACTCGTTCAATACGTCGCACTTGACGTCACTGGCGTTTTTCTTCCCCGTTTCGACGACCTTCGATAAATCTGTTTCGCCCACCTCCTTCGATTCTTGCAAAATTTTCTGGATCTCCAAATCCATTTTTATCGACTCGTTCAACCGATCCGCCACCTTCCTCCCCTCCTTTTCCTTCGCGGGTGATTTTGGCTGCGCGGCGATGATCCTGCAACTCGTCCACGATTCGTCCGTCTCCTCGGATAACATATTCTCCAGGAAGAAGTTTCGTCTGATATCGACCGGAACACTTTTCTTTTTATCCAAAGGCAATTCGTTACGATAATCCTGCGATTTTCCATCGTTTCGTGTAATTGGGTTATCCGTTGCCTTATCCCCGTCTATGATCGCCTCTCTCCTCTCTTTCTGAGGATTTCCCTCGTTCGAAGGGATATCGTTCGACTCGAAGGAGTCGGAATCCTCACTTTCTTCCTGCAAGTCGTTCGACGTGAAATAGTAATGATTCATCATGCTTCGAAGAGTCTCGTTCACGAAAATCTTTCTCTTGTATTCCAGCGTTGATCGATCGGGCGGGTCGATAATTTTTACGCACCCGTCAACATTCGTATCTTCCTCGATCGACGACGACGACGCCTCTTCGCTCTCCCTTACGTTCGATAATAAATTATTTTTTAAAACGTTATTCCCTGCCTCGTTCGTCGCTCCATCCAAGACTTTCGTCTTATTTATTGTCAATGATTTATCTTCAATAGCAGCAGCAAACGAATCCTCTTTCTCGCCAACCGCCGATCCCTTTCCGACAAAATTTATTTCGTTTCCGATCAATTCGCTTTTCGAATTATCTTCCGTTCCAGTAGCGGCAGTTTCCCAAATAATTCCCGTAATATTCGTCAAATTATGCTCATTTATTAAATATTCTTTATTGTCTTCCACATTGTTGTTCGAAGCGGTATCCGCAAAACCACCCTTCTCAGCCGGCTTCTCGGACGAGCGCTCCGTTTTCAACCCCTCCTCTTCCCCAACCTCCGTGATTTTCAACTTTTCCTCGGCCCACGAGCAAACCTGACTCCTCGAGTCGAATTTTGTCGCGTTAAAACTATCCCTCCCCTCGAAAAATTCGTCCTTAAACTCCCCTCCCGCGTCAATCTCCGTGATTTTCAACTTTTCCTCGGCCCACGAGCAAACCTGACTCCTCGAGTCGAATTTTGTCGCCTTAAAACTATCCCTCCCCTCGAAAAATTCGTCCTTAAACTCCCCTCCCTCGTCAATCTCCGTGATTTTCAACTTTTCCTCGGGCCACGAGGAAACCTGACGCCTCGAGTCGAATTTTGTCGCGTTAAAACTATCCCTCCCCTCGAAAAATTCGTCCTTAAACTCCCCTCCCTCGTCAACCTCCGTGATTTTCAACTTTTCCTCGGGCCACGAGGAAACCTGACTCCTCGAATCGAATCCCGCCGAATTAGAACTAGAATCCTTCTCGTTCCCCAATGATGATCCAACCGTCTCGACGAAAATCTCATTCGCGTCCTCGAAGGACCATTCCCCCGAACTGTTCCTCAGAACGGAGCTAAACGGCACGTCACCGAACTCGTCCTCCTGGAGGCCTCGCCCGAAAACCTTCGTCCAATTCGCATCTTTGTTCGTGATCTCGGTCAATCGGACGGAAGAGGCGCGATTCCAATCGTCCGCCCCCTCGCTCTCCAAGGAATCATCGATACTCGGCAACTCGGTGTCATCGCGTTCGTCCAACCCCCGTTCCGGGGTCGAGGAGTTAGACGACTCGATCACGAATCTCACCTTGGTCAACTTCGCCACTATCTTCGAACCCTCCTTCTCGTCCTTCGCGTCGTAGCACATCGGGGCGGACGATCGGCGGATGTTCACCCTGTTGCTTCTGTCCATGTAATCCTCGAAGATGAAATTGCTCGGCTCGTCCATATTTTCCATTATCTGATCCTCGAGGGTGGCCGCCCACCTGTCCAAACATTTCTCGAACGGAAGATTGGTGGTGGTGACGCGGAACGAGAGCTCGCTCCCCTCGTCATCCAACGATTTCTCGAAGAATTCGTGGAAGGAATCCCGGCGAGGGAAAGCGTCTCGACGAGGATCGTCCAGGATGGACGTGGAAAACTCCGACGAATCTTTCCCGTCGAGCTCTGCCTCGACCCCCTCCGCTTGCTGCAACGTGTCGGCCATCACGTTCTGAAAGTCGTGCAAAGTGAAGAGCAACGGAGGATACTTGTTGATCTTTTTCCTCGAGAACACGAACGGTGCTTGTTGTTGTTGCGGCAAACTCGTGGCACAG